GTATGTATGTATGTATGTATGTATGTATGTATGTATGTATGTATGTAAAATTGTTTGGATCTCTTCCTAAAGCATAGCCTTTATGCTGTTATGGGTAAAATATAACTGCACCAGAAAGGAGGAATCAGACCTTTAAATATGCTGCTAGTTAATGATTTAAATTCTACTAAATCCAAGGAACAATTATAATCCTTCTAATGTTCTTGGCAAATTTCCTGTGAGGCCATTAGAAATGTTCTAATTGGTATATTAATATTTTTCTGAAACAAATACACTAAGTAATACTACATCATTTCTATTTTTTTTCCAAATCATCCAATCATACTCCTTTCAAGTTCACTTTTTATTATTTTAAAACATCTAAACAGTAACAATACTCAGTAATAACTCATGTCAAAGAAAATATTTTTATGTGGGCAATATTAATAAGTATGTAAATCCATTAAAAGGAAGTACACATGAACCATCTCTTCTAAAATTATTAAGGTAGTTGTGCTTTTTCTTGCTTGCATGACTTCTTTGGAAGCATATCTGTGCATGTGTTTTGATATGTGCATGTATACACACAAATATATACATACATGTACCTATTGTATACATATATACACACCTGTGTCTGTGTGTTTGAAATAGAGAGAAAGAAATGTTTAAACAGGAAATGAACCCTAAAAAACAGCGAAACAAAAGGATAGTTAAAGGAAAATATAGAAGAAACACAATACATAAAATAGTTCTGGTAAACAGAAAAAAAGATAATGTGGTCTAAGACATTATGCATTTGAGATACCCCTTCTAAACTCTCTCACACAATCAATTTAATCAGTGGCTTTTAGTAGCTGTTCATAATACTTTACATAGTGGTTTTGAAGTTTTTGGAAAGGGATTTGTGTGGTGTGTGTGAGTGTGTGAATATGATCAGTTAAGTACCATTGTGCTATTAATAAAATAATTGGACCCCAATTTACTTGGGAGAAAACCTGGATCTCTTGCTATAAACAATCCATAGCAGTAACTGCAAACAAAGTCTGATTGTCATTTGCTGTTCCTTAAAACAATCACATTAAAATTTAAGCATCTGCAGAGCAGCTGGAATATTACACTGTAGGATTGATTTAGTCCCCCTCCCCCAAATGCATGAGGTGACTGAGGCTTCTTTTCCAGCTTTGTTTAACCTTTAAAAAGTCCAGCAGGGATTTTTGCAGAGAAACATTTTCCCTTCTCTAGCATTTCTTGAAATGATAATATGACCACCTGACAGGATTCATTCACAGAGCAGGATATATTATTAGCACCTGGAGTTATTCCTTGCATGTGGCATCATTTTGCTTGCACAACTCAGTTTTGCTTACTGAGAGAACTCAAGGCACTTGGTGGCATCTTCATGAGTCTCATAATTA